TGAGGTCATCTCGGCTTGTGGAGGGCCCGTTCTCAGGAATGGGTAGTTTAAGATTGATTTAAGACGGAGGGTGGATGGATTTGGAAAGGAACAGTGATGGGGCCTGGGAAAGAAATCAAGGTGATGCAATTCCGGCGTAACGTTCTTCAGATCCTGGCGCTGCCAAGTCACGACGGGGCTCCGTGCCTTGGTTCCTGCCCTGTCCTCCTAAGTGAAAAGCGGTGGATTGCAAAGCTCAGTAGCCAGGCAGGGTGAGAGGATTACCTTACATTTCTAGAAGCCAGCTTTTGCGATGAAGGATTCAGCATCTAAGTTGAAAGAAAGGAAAATTCCACATTCCTAGAAAATACATATCTCCCTTTCAGTGGATGGTATTTTACAACGGCTTGGTGAAATCATCCGACCCAGTGAATGGGTCAAAGCGCCTCTTCTTAATTCTGATTCTGGAATTCTTTCCCGTAATTATTGTGGACCTCAGATTTTCATGGATGCGTATAACGTCCACCCAAACATTTTCCATTCAGAAAAGAAATCTCTGCTCCAAAGTTCCTGCAAGTTCAACGCTGGGAGGCCTTTGGTGAAGAAGAAAAAGAAGGATCATCCATTTATTTTAGTTCCTCATCTGTAAGAATGTACCCAGCTCCCTACTCCCAAATTAAGACATTGATTTTGCAAAAAAAGAAAAAACACCTTCCTTTGCCCAGAAAGATTTGGGAAAGTTCACCCAAATATTTACCTACATTACATTTGGTCTTTTCTCAGTTGCTCGGCGCTAGCCTTGGTGGAATGAGTGATATTCTGTGCGAAGCGTCGCGCTCCGAAAATTCTTCCTAGAGGACCATGTTGGTGGCTGTGTCCCAATGACACAAGGAAGCCATTAGCACTTGATGCTCTTGGCCGGCAGGCAACGAGCGAGCTGGTGTGATGGAGACCACAGAGGTCAGTGAACAGCCTTCCTTTGCAAACTGCCCCCACCAAGAACTTAGCGGAAAGCCCCTTGGCTCAAGCTGAAAAAGACTGCAGGCCAGTGGCTATCACCTCTGGAGGCTTTGGCAACCGCCTGTATGCACCAGAATCACAGCATCTGGAAGATGGCCTGGTACAATCGGCTTTCTTCATAGGGGGTTGGTCCCCATCCATTTCGCCTTGGAAAAAAGGTTCTTCAGCTAGTTGGTGATTATGATAACTTACTTTGGATAGCCCTGCTTAAATGTTCATCTTTTAGAGCCTCCCCCCACACAAAGAATACTGCAATAAAGTTTGCTAGTGTTTAAATGCAGGTTTACTCTATGGAGGCAGGATCAGCAGATTCTTTTTAATTTGTGGCCTTCTAAAATTATGAAAGGAATTTGAGTTACTGTACACTTCAGACACATTATGTGACGGTCCGGCTCTCTGGAGAAGGCTGTAATGCTGGGAAAGGTGGGAGGAAAGAGAGGAGGACGACCAGCAGGAAGGTGGAAGGACTCAGTCACAGGGTGAAGGGTCCATTGTTGGAAGACCTGGAGGACCAGGTTGGAGAAAATCTATTTATGTGGTCACTAAGAGTTGACAACCACTTGAAGTCACATAAATCAAAATCAAATCAACACACTTTTAAAACCTATTACTCATAAAATGCCTTTCTAGGCTTGTCATACATTTCCAAATGTATGATATACAGTGGCCAGAACAAAGGTCTCCAAGAACGGGGAAAGACCAGGGATATAAATCTAAAAATAGGCCTGGCAAGACATATTAAAGGTCTCTAGCTGAAAATGGAGCAGCAATTACAGTTAACTTGTTAGATGTACCGTATGTGAGTTTATTTTCATTAATTCTATCCAGGTGTTAAAAGACAACCGACGGAAATTTAAGGAGGATTTACAGAAAAAACGAGACCCCCAGCCGCAGACCGGCCCCCGGGTTTCCCTGCTCCCCAATTCTGATCACCAAATCACCCTGGCTTCCCGTAAATAGGGGTCAAGCGCTTCCTGTATCTGTCTGAACGGTTTGCTCTTGATACAGAAGAGAACCGGAATCAGGATCCGGGCGAGGACGTGGCCAAAGAGTGTTTGCGGTGCAAATCCCTGGCACTGGTGGGTGGGCAGGCGAGGGAAGGCGGCGAGCACCGGGGCTCCGGCTCTGCCTTTCTTGACCCAAGAAAAAGGGGGGACAAAAAGCCCCCCCCCCCCGCCTGGAAGGACGCTGCGATGCCGGCCCAAGGGCTGGTTGGGCTCTTTGCGGCTTCCCCG